AGGAAGGAAGGAAGGAAGGAAGGAAGGAAGGAAGGAAGGAAGGAAGGGGAAAAAAAAGAGTTACTACATTCAGTGATTTTCCCCTTTACCATATATGTATATATATATATGTGTGTGTGTGTGTGTGTGTATAGATACACACACACACATATAAATATATTTGAGACAAATACAGAGCCACAGTGCTGTGTGACAAGGGATTCTTTGTAGCAACTGCAAATCTAGGACAACAATAATGGCAAGAGGCATTTTTTTTAAACTCTCTCAGTGTTTCAGTAAAAGCCCTATCTTAATAAGGATTCTCTATGTTCTACATTTTGATTGACATCACTAAAACTTTCCCTTCAGACTCCCTGCTGGGAAATCTGTGTTTCCTGATGAAAAGGGATATATCATACACATGTGTTATGAGAAAGTTCCCACATAGCACTGAGTTTGTAACTTGCCCACGTTACAGCTAGTGTGTTTGTCCTGACTTCAAAGATTTACCCAACATACCTCCTTGCCTTTTAATAATCAAATACAGGAAAAATAGGAAAGACATTTTCTGGGAGAGAAAATCTGCTTTCCTCGGTGACATTTTGCTGTGAACAAAGAATTAGAAGGCATATTTGTTAGTTTCTTTTATATCCCTTTGGAAAAAGGTGATGAGAATAGAGGATGAATTAATGGAAAATAATTTGTTAAGAACTTCTTAAGTTCTAAGCACCAGAAAAAGAAATAAAAATACAAAAGACAAGATAATCTCTGCCTTCAAGGAGTTTACATTCTAATAGAAGGAGATAAGCACTTTTGAGAGAGAGGTGGCCAGAGATACCAATGGTTTGGAAACTTACAGGGATAGTAAATGGAGTCAGAAGAGTGAATTCACATATGTACTTTCCCATATAAAGTGTCAAAGAAAAAAAAAGTATTGTTCAATAAAATAAAAAAAAATAAGATGGTATCAAGATGCAGAGGGAAATCATATATCCAGGTAGATACAAAAAATAGGGACAATGAAAATTTATGATGATAAAACTTTCCTATATGCTTTCATTGACATTTCTTTTTTTTCTTCCTGGTTTTAAGTCAATTTTTTTCTTATACAACTGAAATATTAGACATTTGACTTGTACAGTGAAGAATTTGTGTTTGATAAATTTGTTCAATGAGTGTGTCACTTTATTAGAAAATGGAACAATTTCACTGTTACTGAGCTTTCAGAAAGACACAACAAGAAATCCTGAGAATTTATGAGGTTGTCAAAAGTACACTAGGTCAGGATTTGGAGACCTTCATTTTAGTTTCAACTCTGAACCTAACTTTCTGTGTAAACTTTAGGAAGTTAAGATCACTTCACTGGACCTTACCTTTCCTCATTTGTAAAATATGGGAATTGGATTAATTGGTTTGTAGGCTGGAAGAAACCATAAAGGCCATATAATCCAGTCATTTTACAGATGAAGAAACAGTGGTGCAGAGAAGGGAAATGACATAGCTATTAAAAATAGAGATGCAGATTCAGGTGGTCTAAC